ATGTCCCTGCCTCCACTGCAAAAAAGTCGGTGTCTGTTATGTGTGTGCACGCGTGCATGTTTTCAATGAAAACTTGACTTTTCTCCCGAGCCGGGAACCGGCGAACAGGGGGTGCTCAGCGCTCTCCCCCCTTAAAGGGAATAGACACAGAGACAGGGGGAGAGGAGAAAAAGTGCACCAAAAGTAGCTAGTTAATTTTTAATTCTTAGTTATTTTCCTGGTCAAATTCCTTCAGTTCCTGTCTTCCCTTGATGTTTGGAGTCTGTTTGAAGGAAATGTTGAAAAGTTTTGAATTTGTACATGTGGGACATGGTCTTCCCGAGGACATTTTCGTGTATTCTTGTTATCGTTTTTGTTATCGTTTTGGACCCCCCAACGCTTCACCCATTTTGGTGGCCTAACGGACTCAAACACTTAATACAACATATTCTCAAGAATGATTCACATGGGTGCTGTTGACTTGTCGGCCTAACATCCACTGAATTAGAATCCATGCATGTACATGCAACTACTTACCCATATGGATCAGCAAATGTCTACCCATGTCCCAGCGATGCTCAAGGAGCCAAAAGAAGAATCACTCCTGAATGCTTGTATTACACGAAAACCTTGACATGAAACACTCTTGTTAAAAGGAATGCACCTGAAATCAATAACTGGATTTGACAGCTGTTTGCTTCAAGAACTGAAGGCATTTAAATTTCCCATGCTTCTATTCTCATGTACTGTATTGCATGTATTACATGAGTGTTATCTTGTTTTAACTCTTTATCGTTTTACAATGAATCAGCCATGGTTTGCTAAAACGGGACCACTGCTTACATTTCTCCTAGGTCCCGGGTTTTTAAAAACATCATGTGAGACTACAAATCCGAGGTTTTCAAGTCTCTTTTGCCACACAGGGGGGAGTCTCGTAGGTCAGTTGCGAATTTGCCAGTGCCCCCTTAAGAAGAAATGACACACTCACACACACACACTGGTACTAAAACACAATGCTCTGATTGAAGGATATTAAGGATATTCTGACCACCCCTCTACCAGTAGCAGCATCTCTGCACCAAAACCTTACCAAGCCCCAGAAACATGACGGAGAGTCGAGGACGGTGGCAGCGACTGGGAACGCGGCAGAAAAATGTGCATCTATTGGACATGCGCACGTTCAGAGTTTGGCATGGGTGAACATGTGCTGGAGGAGATCGCTTTTAGGTTGGAGGCAATCGCTACTAGGGTGGGTGAACATGTGCTGTATTCATGCACTGCACTTTAAGCATGCTCAAAGCCATAGCAATCTGCCGAGGCAGCCAGAAGGTCTGATGTTGAAGACAAAGATTGATTGAGCCGACTTAACTAGATAGAATTTGGTGGACCAAATTTTAAAGCGCTGGAACGGCATGCAGCAAGCTGAATGTTATAAAATGGGCGGGCATCAAGTAGCGTGAGGGCCGTTGGGGGGAGCAAACACAAAAGAAAAGAACAGAACTCAGACCAGCCAGTGGACACGCAGCTTGGACTCGGGCATTGGTCTCTCCTCGAAATTCTGGTACTGTTGGCCTGCATCCATCAATGCAGTGGCTGACAACCTCATCAAAGTTGTGTCGACTTGTTCTGCATCCGAACATCCTCTGGCACTGCTTTCTTGGGACCATGTCTGCTAGAAAGAAATACAGTATTAATTTGAATCAGTACTCTGGCCTCAGCGAAGACTCAAAAGATTTTGAGTCACAAAGACAAATGTGAACAAGCGTGACCGGTTCGTAGGATTGCTTTGCTGGGCTTGCTGGGATTCGCAACTTTTTACAAAAGTGATCAAAGGTGACTTCTAACCTCCTACCAGGTCCTACCATTCCCCGCGCAAGAACAGCATCTGGCTATAGACAGCTGAATGCCAGTGTGTATTCAGCTCGGACATGCCCAGGTGGTGGATGAAATTTGTCCGCGCAGGCAGCCACACCCCTCCAACCTGCCTAAAGTCCACCACCTTGCCGTCCAGGTCATGGAGTTCCTGTCAAGCTCACGGGTGAGACTCTGTGAGTCGTACGCACAAAGGAAGTAAGTCCTACTAGTAGCGATGCCTTGTTACTAGTAGCTAGTAGTGATGCCACGAGCTACTAGTAGCTTCTTGTTACTAGTAGTGATGTCCTTGTTACTAGTAGCATATCAACATTTGTCTGGTTAGATGGAACTGGCCCTTTTCACCGATCAGCAGTGTAAGGAAAGGATGGAATTGCCAATCATGCGCACCGGAAGCAATGGCCCAAGCTGTTTCGCTTCAAGGGCCTCTTTCGCACGACCACTGCAGCACACTTGTCCCATTGGACAAACCAAATGAGCGGGCAGTGCTCGTGCACTGGATGCTTATGAAGTTTGATCCAACTGAGCTGCACCGACGAAACGATCATCGCTCCCAAGGCTTCGGATCGGAAGTTGGGATTGGCCATGTCACGTGGGCCGAAGCCAACATGATCCGACAGTGTCTTTTTTGGTACGAGCTAGCTACTAAATCTGTGGGAGACCGTGGGAAAATTACAGTTAGCTCACAGCAATTTCACAGGTCACCAGCACAAGCCCAAGAAGAATTGCGGTTGAGCTACCGGGCCATCTTGGCCAAATAGGACATACTGTGCTCAGCATGATCTCACTAAATGCAACGCAACCGACATCACAATTTGGAGAGGCGACCACGCCCAAACAGATTTAGCTTGCTGCCCGTCCATCCCAAGCTTCGTAGATCAATCAAAGGCGTGCAGCCTTTGTCGAATGAACATGATTGTGCTGCTCTTCTGACTCTCATGACCAACAGCAAGACCGCCTGACCGGTCCTGATCTGAACTTCGTTGTTTTGGGCTCGTCGCGTTGGTGGCCGACGCACCGGTCCTTCGGGCCGTCGCACCTGTACAGCTTGACGGACTGTCGAAGGACCGGTTAGAGGTCTGAGATCGATAAGAATGCACTTGTTCCTAGTAGCTTCTTGTTCAGAATAGAATTGGCTGTGTGGACATGGAATAGAAATGAAGACTACGAGAATGGAAACCAGTTGATTCAGTGGATCCAGCGGTCTTGAGAGAGCATCAAAAAAGCTGATTGGAAGTTGTGATGTTGTTCTTTGGATCAAGGGGTAAACCGCACAAGCCCTTGCGGACCATCTTCGCTTCTTCTGACTGCAATGACATCATCTTGAGTCGCAGAAGATTATCCTATCTTTCCGGTGGCTGCCGGTAGATGAATCATTTCAAAGGGTGTAACAAGAACAGCAAACACCAATGGACCAAGTGACACCAAGTGTCTTTGATAGATTGTTGTTTGTGTGCTTATAGTATCTTAAAGTTCGCAACATACACCCTCAGTTCACTCTGCAGGGAAAGCTTCCAGGCGTGTCCGCCAACCTCGCATGACAAGCTCAGTGTGGTCATCAAAGACCATCAAAGGCCATCGTGCTTTCTTCCATTCCAGGAAGCTTTCGACATGTGGTGCAAGCCAAGTTACTTGGGTGCACCGTTGAATCGATCGAATTGCTTGCATCTCAATTGGACAAAAGGTATTGAAGGCAGCCCTCCGATGGCATCGGTTCAGCAAGTGCAAGTAGAAACAAGAGTGATTTAGCAGGTCATGGGAGCCTTGGAAACAAGCCCTGCAGCTCGCCAATATGAAGGTCCGCCCCGCCATGCATCACCAGGCGTCTTCAAGTTCCCAAGGTTCCTGGCTGGTCAGGAAAGAAAATCATATCCATGTCCTTCCGCTTCAGCGAGCAAGTAGACATGAGAAGGATTGAAAATACACAAAGAAAACTCTGGGTGTCGTGACAAGGGTTCGAGCCCCGAAGGAGTTTGCAGAAAAGACTCTACATAAAGCTAACACAAATAGGCCGTCTGTTCCACTGATTGGCACCTTCAACATTTCCTTTTGCCGCTGGTGACAAGTCACTCAACCCTCTTGGTAGCCGGGCCAAAATGCGTGGATCTGGACCTGACAACCGTCATTGACGTTCAACATTGCCTCATCTGGTTCAAGTCTCTCGTTCAAGTGTCCTCTCAGTCTCCAAACCTGCTCTTCCTGTTTTCTGCACCTGCTCTACAGTATCTAGTTTAACAATGGATAGCGATAGCAATGTCGCAATGTAGCGCGGCACTTTGCATCTGCTCGTAAAGAAGCGCATTCAAGGTCATCCTCATGGTTCGGATGTTCTAGTGTGACAACCACGACATGGGGCCGTCCCTTCCCACTGACATTCTGCATGGCCTTTGCCATCATCGCCTTTCGGCTGAACCTGCCCAGGTACAGTATCTGGATCATTCTCAAGGACCAAAGACCAGCAGATTGGTTGCAAAATGTTTCAACTTGGACGAGAGTGACTGACCAGATATGGGAAACAAAAGATCAGCTCAGGATTGTACATTGGATGAAGTAAAACTCATTGGATTCTCCTTCTTTATCTGCATCCACAAAATGGGATTCTGCAGTTGGTGGAGTCTCAAAACCCAATTTAAGGATCGAAAAGGGTGCAGCAACAGTATGTAGATCAAGACTATGGATCCCATATCAGCTTGCCTGGAGCCCCTAGTAGCGTCCTTGCTCCTAGTAGTACGGCCAGGAGCCCCTATGTTCCTAGTAGCGATGCCAGAAGCCCCTAGTGGTATCTTATTGTGCAAAGCAATATGGACAGAAGAAAACAAAAACAGTCGCTTAGCGGAAGATTTTTTGTGTGTAACGTATGTGTGTTCGTTGATACTGCAGGCCGCTTTGGCTGGTACCTCTGCCTCTGGAGCAGGTGCCAAGTCCTCTTGCCTGTGGATGTTTCACACGTCGTCAAAGCAGGGATAATTCAGTGCCAACCACGGTAACGATCTCCAGCAAAACCCACGGACGAGAATGGCACAGACTGACTATATATATATAGCGCATCTGTTTAGATTGTGTCATTCAACTACACCCATACTGCTATCAAGCACTCAAGGTGCGTAAATTGATCGACTGCTCTTGTCTGTCCTGCCAGTTGGCCACTTCCACTTCTTTTTTCTGGATCGGTTCACGCTTTGCTACTGAAGATTGACTCTGATCAAAATCCAGTAGGTCACTCAGTAGGTCCATCTGCTCACTTCTGCTTTTGCTTCTTGCCGTTCGCGTCATTCCTACAAGGAAAGTCGGTTGATGCATTCAACAAGACTTTGGTATGGATACACTTTCAACTATACTTTACAGACTAGTCTGAGATTATGTGACCACAGCTAACTTTACTGCACTAGTCTGCACCTCCAAACAGTCTGCTAGCCACCATCTATTTCTGAAAAGATGTCCAAGTGAATCCCGGTCTGAAATCCTAGCTCATTTTGCACCTAAGATGTTTGTAAATATTAAATGGTTTAGTATAGGTGCATCAACATTCTTGGGCTTAACTTACCAAAGCTCTCCGCTGGACTACCGCGCCTTGCATTCTTCAGTGTGCGAATGAAGACGTACGCGGGAAATGCGATCCAGAACTCGGTCAAACATGCTTTTGCATGTGAGGACCAAATCCAAGTGTTCTCTGGCTCTTAATGAGACGAGCTAGGTCTGACAGCAACACGTCTTCATCCTAAGCCCTAGTACTTTGTTTGGGTTTCAGGAAACGAAACATCGTGCTGCGTGGGGGTTGGAGCCTCAAAAGCACACCGACTAGAATCACTCTGCTCCGGCAAATTATCGATTTCTGGGACACCTGTGGGCCAATGCATTGTCCGTTGCTTTCCCTTTGCACTGACTCCTGGCCAAGTTCCGTGCGCTTCCACAGAACTTGTCTGCATAACTCAACCTCATGCAACTGAGAATCAGTGACACTTGCCACATGTCCCCGCTTGCAAGAGCAAAAGTCACTCTTTAGTGCTGGCTGCTACCCAACCGCTGAGAGCCGCTCCAGCATTCATGCTCACCCCGCATTAAGCCAGGCAAGTAGTAGACCCTGAAGAACATGCCGCAAACATCCATCCCAATCCGGCATAGTTCCAGAGTGTCAAAAGCTGATGTGATATAGTATCTCAAAAAACAAATGAAAAAGGTAATATTAATATACTTCCGACTCATGATTAAATGGGAAGGACGCAAGACTGCTATCATTCCTGGGGCAGGAGAGATCGCATCAACACACTGAGATGTGTTGTGGTCTTCAGACTACAATGAAGCTCTCAATTGTTCAGTTTGGTGTTAGTTGTCTGATCAACTTCAAGATCTTCAAGTGAAGTCAAAGTATTGTTATTAAAGAAAAGAAAGAGCACCTCAAGGATCCTGAAAGAAAAAGAAGTTCAGAAGGCTTACTATGATTCTGATTTCAGTGTGCTTTTTCCAGGTGCGGGAAGTCCCACCAAGTGAGAACAATACCTGGAGACAGCTGGACAATAAGTGTCTCAAAACGAGGAACTCTCGACAAGTCAGGAGAGCTGAACACTTTGCGTTTTTGTTCTGATACTGGGGCCGCTTGGGATTCTCATGGAGGCCCCCGGTTCCAAGTGTAGTCACAAATAATATGCATGTTGGAGTTGGAGCGCCACATAGCGCCGCACTTGATCTTTTGCAACACAGGCTGTGCGACTCAAGTTCGTGTGCAGAGTTGATCCAAGCTTAGAACCTGGCACAGTTCCTGCAAATTGGACAGTTAGACCCACCAGCTCCACCAAATATCGTCGGTGGTCCTTGATGGGCACAAGTGACACAAGTGCCGAAAAACGGCGAGGGAGCATGTCAACATGTTCGAGCAACTTTGTGGACCATGTTCTCAGTTGTTGCAAGCAACTTGCTTGCAAATGTTTTGTACTCAGCCTCCACGGGTCTCCAGGGTGATTAAAGACAGTGATATCATCCAAGTGAAAGTGCAGCTTAAGTTGGGAGAGACTGGCTCACAAACACAAGCCAGGAGAATGTCATACAAGTCTTTCGAAGCACCTTCCTTGTGTCCAATAGCTACAGTAAAAGGTATGCATCTGTTGCCAGCAGCTCTGAGCGTGTTGGTTTCAAACGGCACCAAGTGGCAGTCCTGCGTCATGAAGAGATACACAAGCCAGGCCGCAAATGGAACCTGTGCAGTGCAAATGTTGATCGTTGAATAAACATTTTACAAACTGTATGGCCCTGTATGGTTTTTTGATGCCTATTGATTCATTCCAGACTGTCATACCATACAGTATTACTACATATTACTACTAGTAACAAGAAGCTACTAGGTGGAGGCCATCGCTATTAGGTTGGAGGCCATTACTACTAGTAGCAAGAAGCTACTAGTATTCCTTCGGAATCCTTCGGTCACAACTTCGTCGCACCGATGCACCACACCTCCACGTACAGCTCCAGGCCGTAAGCACAGTCAAAGTGTTGCCTTTCCCTGGGGCAACCGTGCAGTGGCGACATGTGGCACAAAACAATGGACAAAACAACAACTCTCAAATATACATATCTTAGTAGCTTCTTGTTCCTAGTAGCAATGCCCTTTGTTACTAGTAGCGTCCTTGTTCCTAGTAGTAAGAATGGTCCTAGTAGCGATGCCAGGAGCCCCTAGTAGCGTCGTTGCTCCTAGTAGCGATGCCCTTTGCTACTAGTAGCGTTCTTGTATATCTCTCAAATCTCATCGCGTGTTATAAATGCTAAAGACTTCTAGTCTTTGGAAGGCCAATCTGGATTCTGTTCCAAAAGTGTCTTCAACGTCCACGAGAGTCGGGGAAATGCCCAGGTCGAACAGGCTATTGAGAAATACGAGCTCTCCATCCAACCACCATTGGTCAGGAGGCTATTAGGTTGGAGGCCATCGCTACTATTGGAGGCCATCGCTGCTATTGGAGGCCATTGCTCTTAGGTTGGAGGCCAACGCTACTAGGTTGGAGGCCATTGCTCTTAGGTTGGAAGCCATTGCTCTTAGGTTGGAGGCCACCGCTACTAGGTTGGAGGCCATCGCTACTATTGGAGGCCATTGCTCTTAGGTTGGAGGCCATCGCTACTAGGTTTGAGGCCATCGCTACTAGGTTGGAGGCCATTGCTCTTGGGTTGGAGGCCATCGCTACTAGGTTGGAGGCCATTGCTCTTAGGTTGGA